CTGTACTCTTTTTTTAAAAAGATTTTATTTATTTATTTGAGAGAGTGAGAGAGAGCACAAGCAGGGGGAGCAGCAGAGGGAGAAGCAGGCTCCCCGCTGAGCAGGGAGCCCAATGTGGGACTCAATCCCAGGACCCCGGGATCATGACCTGAGCCGAAGGCAGATGCCCAACTGATTTAGCCACCCGGGTGCCCCTCTGTACGCTTTTTGAAAGATTTTTTTTAGGGGAGCCCAGGTGGCTCAGTCGGTTGAGCATTCAACTCTTGGTTTCAGTTCATGTTGTGATCTTGGGGTCGTGAGATCGAGCCCCACATTGGGCTTCACGCTTGTCGGGGAGTCTGCTTGAGATTCTCTCTCTCCCTCTCCCTCTGCCCCTCACCCCACTCGTGCTCTCTCTCACTCTCTCTAAATAAATAAATAAATAATCTTCAAAAAAGTTTTTTTATTGTGCTAAAATAATACATAAAATGAAAATTACCACTTAAACCATTTTTTAAGTGTCCAGTTCAGCGGCATTAAGCACATTCACACTGTTGTGCAGCTGTCACCACCAACCATCCATCTCCAGATCTCTTTTCATCTTCCCAAACCAAAACTCTGCCCCATTAAACACTTAACTTCCCATTCCCTCTGCCCCCTACAACCACCATTCCACTTTGTGTCTGTGAATGTGACTAGTCACATTCCTGTAAGTGGAATCATATGGTGTTTCTCTTTAGCAGTGTGAGTTTTCAACATGGCAGGAGACAGAGATGAAAATGTTGACATGGCTTAGGTACCCTCTTCGACTTGATGATAAGAACTGGAGAGTTGTATTATTTGGGAATGGTGGTAAGATAGCTACATCTCTTTATAATGAGAGATGTAGGCAGTGCTTCATATACAGAGAAATCTGGTTAAATTACATGAAAATGAGTTTCAGGTTTGGTTAAATTATTATACTATAATAAATGACTTTACAGAATTTAAGATTTGGTATATGGTTTACTTAGAAAACAATTTGGTTGAAAAGCAATAATATCCCTTCTTTTAAAACTATCTTTAATAATTATAATGATTCTATAGTTCATGTTCTTAATCATTCTATCTACATTGTCTGAATAGAACCTTAAAGTAACTAGCAGTATATACTAAAATTCCAACCATTTAAAAAAGTATATATGAGAGGACAAGGCTAAAATGCAAAGATGAACACTGTTCAGCTGTTACTAATAGGATAATAACGGGTGGTGTACTAAAGATATCAATTAAAGTCCCTGACATACCTATAGCCTCTCCAGAGGGAAAATTCTCTAGGCAGTCATACTTGGTACCATATCACCCTCCTTTCTTCTCATCCTGTCCTTACCCATGAGCATAGCTGGTTAGGCTAAGGATGGACCCCTGACCTGACCTGAGGATAGCCCATTGTCTATAAGACAATTGGGCATGAAAAACTGCCCCCAAAACAGAAGAGCTGCACCAGGAATTTGAATTAGAAAATGCAAAGAAAATGGGGCAGCTAGTAGTGAAAACTTCAACACAAAATATATAGAGAGAAAGGTCATAGGGTGCAATATGAATAATGCTTGGAACATAGAAAGCACTTAATAAATGTTTTTACTATTACATTCATCATCATTATCCACATGCTCCCACTGCTAGCATTCCTGAAACTTCCCTGACCCAAAATGCTCTTTGGTTACAGTACCTCTACCTGTTCCAGACAGATTATGGTTCTGATCCTTGGAATTCCATGCAGTACATTTCCTTTACTGTCTTAAATATCCTTTCAATAAAATTCATTTAAAACATAAATGAATTTAATAAAAGAAATATTTACAAATAGATTTCTTAGCTTACTATTAGGAAGAAATTTTATCATCACTAGAAATACATATAACCAGTCCCTTTTGTTTCCAAGTTACTTACTCAAGAAAAGCATTAAGTAAATCAGTGGATTAGAATGTAACCATGAAAACAATTCTTGATGTCCTTAATCTCAAAACCTTGTTCAAAAATTCCCTTTCTGAAACTTTTCCTTCCTAACAATCACATCACTTGCTTCCTCTTTCCTTATCAGTTAAGTATATGATTCTGATTATACTTTTTTCTTTCTTTCTTTCCTTCCTCCCTCCCTCCCTCCCTCCCTCCCTTCCTTCCTTCCTTCCTTCTTCCTTCTTTGTAAGCTCTATGCCCAACATGGGGCTCAAACTCAAGACACCAAGATCAAGAGTCACACGCTCCACCAAGTAAGCCAGCCAGGTGCCCCTTTTCTATACTGTTCTTTTTTTTTTTTTAAAGATGTTCTATATTTTTATTTGAGAGAGATAGAGAGCACGAGCGGGGGTGGGGGGGTAACGGGCAGAGGGAGAGGGAGAAGCAGGCTCCCCACTGAGCAGGAGATCACAACCCGAACTTAAGGCAGACAATTGACCGCTTAACTGACTGAGCCACCTGGGCGCCCCATCTATATTGTTCTTAAGTTGGGTTATCTTTTGTCTTTCTTGAAATTTGTCTCATCTCACCTATGAGTGTATGGACTCCAGAGAACAGGGACTTGTCTCTTCCATTTCTTTTGTGATGACAGTGGTGTGTACTGAATGAGCAGGAAATGTGAAATAAGATAATATAGATGCTGGAGTCAAGCTGCAACTCTCTCACGGCCTACTTGTCTATTTGGATAAGTCACTAAACCTGGCTCAGGCCCCACGGCATTTTCTATAAAAAGGAAATGATGTGATTTTTCACTGTGCTCCCTTGACTGATGGATGGCATTCGTGAAGAATTTTATAGTTCCATACTCAGGCACATGCAGTACAACCCACATTCAAACCTAAAATTACTACATGGAGAGTGATAAAATAACAACAGCTAATGTCAGACGGCAGAGGCCATCGGATCTGCATTTGTGGAGGGCATTTACCTTCTAACAGTTTAGCTTCAAAGCAGTGGTTAGAATTAGCATTCAAGCAACGGTATTTCATCACTTATCACAAGCTTTCGTAGTTTGCCTCTGGCCCTGCTCCCCAGCAAAGCAAGTCCATTAATCTAAAGTTAACTTGTCACCACTCACTGGCAGACTCTGAGCTTTTACCTGGCCACAGAAGAATGTGACTTCATATTTATAGCTCTGACATATATCAGATTTAAAGCAAAAATCTAACCTAGCTGCACTTGTGATTTCAGCTTAAACTCCTTCTCTTTCTCTCTTTCCCCCGATAATTTGACAAAACAAACAGCACAAATTAAACAAAAAACTTAATAGGTCACATTATTACTCTATTTTGTGGAATCATATCAAAATAATAATAATAATTTGCTTTCTATAAATTACCCAAGTAAAATATTCAGGATTCTAACTAGTACATCTGAACAAGATAGGATGCTAAAAGTATCACAAATCAAATTCACTTACTTGACATTTCTGACGCAACTGTCGTAGTTCTTTTATAACTGGGGCTAGAGCTGACTTCTTTTCAGATACCAGTGAATTCAGCTTTTTTACCTGTCATTTAAACAAAATACATGAGATCTAAAAAAAAAAAGAATTCAAAAGAACAAAAATACTACATGCTTAAATGTATTTATTAAAGTGTTATATAAAAGAGTAAAACTGTAAATTACTTCAAAACCAAACAATGGGGAAATGATTTAGTAAATGTTGTTTCAGTAAGATGGAATAGCATTTAACTATTCAAAAGGTCAATTATTAAGACTGCAAAACATGGGAAAATATTTGTAATCTAACATTGAATGATGAAAACAAATTAGAAAGTTGCCTGTATACAACTACAATCATGCTGTGTTATTAAAAAATATGTAATTATGTAGATTATATAGTATATACATAACATGATGAAGTGATATTCAAAATACATAATAACCCAAAGGATATAAGTAATGACCAATCAAAATGGACACTAGCCATAGAGACTAATGGGATCTCAGAGTCTTCTGATTTTTAGGAGTCAGATTGTAGTGAGATCCAGAGGGTTCTGGGCAAGTAGCCAATGTGGAAAAAAATAGGTGGAAGTGGGTACTCTGAGAGTCTGAGGCAGCAGCTAATTACCAATAAGGAAAAATTTCAACATTTGAATGTCTGATGAAGCTGCCATCAGTGCATTCAGGCTGAACAGCAGCTCCAAATATGGAAAGATACTAAGGACACACACAAAAATGAAGTAATTTTATTAGTTAGTGTGGTATGATTTGGGAGAACTTATTTTTTATCTTAAATATTTCTTTAATGTTCTGTAACTTTTACACACTTCAAAAACCGCAAAGATAAGGCAGGCATTTCAATACATAATGCTATAGGGTATTTATTAAACCCATCATGTTTCCTTGGAAAAAAAGCCCTACAAAATGCATAAATTATGACAAGTTGAACAACTTACTAGAATGGAAACATTCAGAAGAGATTGCTAAAGACGATGAAAGAATATAAAGTAAACAATGTGCAGAAATTAAAATTTGAGTGTTTCACTGAAAACAAAATACAAAAACATCTGCCTCTAGCTATATAATTAAAAAAAAAACTATAAAAAAAAGTGAAATCAGGGCGCCTGGGTGGCTCAGTCATTAAGCATCTGCCTTTGGTTCAGGTCATGATCTCAGGGTCCTGGGATCGAGCCCTGCAAAAGGTTCCCTAATCAGTGGGGAGCCTGCTTCTCTCTCACCCTCTGCTTCTCTCCACCCCGCTCTTACTCTCTCTTTCAAATAAATAAATAAAGTCTTTAAGAAAAAAAAATCAAGTGGGACGCCTGGGTGGCTCAGTCAGTTAAGCATCTGCCTTCGGCTCAGGTCATGATCCCAGGGCTCCTTGCTCAGCAGGGAGTCTACTTCTCCTTCTGCCTGCTCTGCCTGCCGCTCCCCCTGCTTGTGCTCTCTCTCTCTCTCTCTGACAAATCAATCAATCAATCAATCAATCTTAGGAAAAAAAGAAAAGAAAGAAAAAAATCAAGTGTAATCACCATTTCAGACATGTCGTCAAGTGTTCGGCCTTTCATCTCATCAACCTCAGTCTTCAGTGCAGATACCCTTTCTAGCTCTTCCTGGGTGTAACTATATCCAGATATACCCTTTTTCTCTTCAATAGTTTGCTAAAAGTAAAGAATAAAAATAGGTGTCAAAAATGGGGTCCACAAAATGGGTGTTAAAACCTCGATGATTCCATAAGAAGTATACAGATTTAATATATAACAATAAAGTTATAAATAAAATAAATTAGCTTAGAATCATAAATAATTTAATAATAAATTATAATTTGATGATAATTACATATCTTTATAGGTTATAAACTTGCACTAAATTTTACTTTGGTATCCTTGGGTGCACAGTATTTCTAATTTTAGCACTCAATAAATATTTGGTGACTGAATGAATTCTCAAGTGATCAATATATTTGCATTCACTCACCCATCCAGTATTTATTATATACCTAAATGTGCTGAGTATAGTTCTAAGCACCAGATATACAGCAGTGAACAAAACAGGAAAAAAAAACAAAACTTCCCTCACAGAGCTTACTTCTAGTGAGAGTAAACAAGCAATATGTAGACAAATAAAATACATAGAGTGTGAGGTGAAAATGGGGTTGGAATCTTAAAACAACAGGGTGGTTAGAGAAGGTCTTTCTGAGATGACGACATCTGAGCAAAGCCCGAATGAAGTGAGGGAGCAAGTCATACAGATATCCAGAGGATCAGCAAGTGAAAAAGACATGTCTTTCCCAAGAAATAGCTAAGAGACTGGTGGAGCTGAAAACGGAATGAGAATGAGGTTCGGGGGGAGGGATCATACAGGACTCATATGATTTGCTGGAACAGTCTCAGTTAAAGTCTATTGTCCTTTGCATTTTCAAATGTGTCCTACTTCAGATGATAAATTATATGGTAACTTTATTTTTAGGCCAATGAAAGAGCTTCGGCTTATTTTAAATGAGATGGGAGGCTTGTTGGGTGGTTCAGAGTAAAGGAATTTTTAAATAGCCACTTTAACATCTGTGCTGAGATCAAACTGAAGAGGGACAAAGGAAGCCAGTTAGAAGGTTACTCCAATAATTCAGGTTAGAGATAATGGTAGCATGAATCAGATGGTGGTGGTAGAGGTAATGAGAAGTGGTTGTGTATCTATTTTAAAGGTAGATCCAACAAAATATTATGACAGATTAGATGTAGGGTGTGAAGGAAAATGAAGGGTAAAGAATGACTAAAGTTTCTGGCCTGCAGAACTGAGGGGATGGAGCTGCCATTTGTTGAAATGAGAAAGACTCGGTAAGACCAGGTTTGAGGGAGTAATGAAGTTCAGAAATTTAGTTTTGGGCATTTAAAAGATTCAAAATGTCTAGTAGATATCCAGTAAGAGGTCAAGATGTTATACATATAAGACTGGAACTTGAGGAGAAAGCTAGGCTAGAGATACAGAGTTGGGAGTTGTCTGCATAGAGAAGGTCTTTAAAGCCATGAGACAGGATAAGATCACCAAGGGAGTGAAAGAAGAGAAGAGATCCAAGGGCTAAGCCTGAGGAACTCCAATTTTTAGATCTTGGAGAAATGAGAAGAAATCAGCCACAGAGTAGGAATAGGAGTGCTAGTACGGGAGAAAAACAAGGAGAGTGTAGTTTACTAGAAGATAAGTAAAGGAAGACGGAGTGATCGACTATGTCAAGCACTGCTAATAGGCCAAGTAGGAAAAGGGCTAAGAAATGCTCACTGGGTTTAGCAGTGTGAGGTACTGGTGATCTTGATAAGAGAAATTTTGGTGCAATGACCTGATTGGAGAGGGTTCAAAACAGGATGGAAGAACCAAAAGGAAAGAAAGAAAAGGAGAGAGGGAATGGAAGAAGAGTTGGAATTTGGGGCTGCCAATAAAACTGACACTCCCGAGAAAGGAGTAGAGGGAACTATAGAGTATTAGCCCAAAATTCTGTATGCAATTTCCTCTTTGGGCATTACCAAATCCTCAGCTGTGCACAGGGAAGGTAAGACTCCTAGCAGCCAAGTGGAAATAATTAGATGGGTGACTAAAAAACTGGGCAAAGACTTCAGTATCTCATAGTGCTACAGAGAGAGAGGTAGGAATTCAAGACTACTCAAAGTGTGTTGCTCCAGACTATCAGCTGAAACCCTAGAAAGGCTACTCCTAAGGAGTCATAACCTAAGAGTAAGAGCCAGGCACAAGAAGTATTCCTGGGAGTAGAGTTTCTGCCACAGGTATAAGGACTGCATATTAGGAGTAAGAGAAAAATATCAGCTTTAGCAAAACTGGATCAAGATGATCTATGAGGAAAAAAAATCAAATGTTCTTTTAAGGAAGGAAATGTTTCCAGAGCCTGACATTCAATAAAAAAGTACCAGATAAGCAAAGTAACAGGAACAAATGTCTGAAAATCAAGAGAAAAAAATTACAGATAATAGAAAGATACCCAGATGAAGTCATCAGATAGGACATTTAAAATAGCTGTGATTATTATATTCAAGACAATAAATGAAAAGTTGGAGAATGTTACAGATAACTGGAATCTATAAAATAAAATCAAATGGCAATTCTAGAACTGAGAATGGTAATAAGTGATATTCAGAATTCAATACATGGTTTACATAGCAGATTCGACACAAAAGATTAATGAATTAGAAGTTGGCACAGCAGGAAAAAATTCAGATTAAGTCACAGAGAGCAAAAATAATGGAAAATTTGTAGAAGGAGGGTTAATAGGACAAATGAAAACTCTCAGTGCTGCATTTGGTCCCAAGGGCATAGTAATACTCAACATCTTCTTCCTTTACCATTCTAGATTTCCCTCATGTTTGGCTAGCACCTTCACTGGTCTAAGTGACTTTCTTGGTGGGATGACCCAGCCCCTCATCTTTAAGAGGTGTGAGACTCTAGGAACCATGACCTTAGCAGGCTGTGGTTGCTGTACTTACTCATTTATTGTTAAAACCGGGCATGGGAGTACCAAGATATGCCCTAATGGGTCACCTGAGTGCCAAATATATTCCTATCTGCCCTTATTATATAGCAGCATTTGTATAGCATAATGATGTCCTGTCAATATAATAACTCTTTTCTTTGCCTGATGGTCTATAGGCATGAGGAACCCAAGTGACAAGATGGTAGCCAGAGCATTAAGTTTAAAGGCCTTGTAATGTGCTTTCTGGTGAAAGCATGCCCACTCTGGAAACCAGAACATCTATACCTACAGAGCCTAAAGGTGTCCGGAAGGGAAACATAATTCCCTAAGTGGAGAAGTGGGCATCCTAGTGAGTGGTGACACTCATACTTTCATTCCGTAGTTCCAAGACCCATGGATTCTTTGTGTGTGCAACACAGCACCAAATGGTGGGCATTGGTTTAAAATGTATACTCCATCCATCCTGAAGAATAGAACTCATCCTCACAGGCCATCAACTCTAAGCTGTACCTTAGTTGTACCTTCACAAGGCCCTTCTACCAGTCTATCAGGGTAATAGCTTCCTGGATGGTGTGATATGTGGTATGGTGACTGAATCCGATGGTCCTGTGTCCACCACCATATCTCCTTTGCCATAAAGTAATCCCATGGTCTGAGTGATATTATACGGAATTCCATATCAGTAGACCAGATACTCTGAGCCTTTGGATAGGGATGCTGGCTGAAGCACTGTGGGCAAGAAAAGCAAATACTTACCCAGAATCTGGGTCAGTCCAGGTCAGGATGAAATGTTGCCCTTTTCAAGGCAGAAAGATGATTGGTTTCCTCAAGGTATGATTCCATATCTAGAGCTCAGGGTTGGTCTCCCTATTGTTGCCAGGTCAGACATTTGGCAGTGGGAATAGCTAGATGGCCATGGGCAAGAGAGAGCGCATGCTATTTGGCCCTTGCTTAGCCTCCATCTTTGCCAGCATAACCATTCTGTTCATAAGCCCATTATCCAAGCACTGGGTGGCCAATGACAGAGGGTGCCTGACATCTCCTGTCCAAATCATCCTTTCCACTTGGTTGTTTAGTGCTCTCTTCTGCTTTGGACATTCCTAGTGGCCATTAGCATATGATGAAAAGAGAAAAGATCTTCACACTTAGTATGTTACTCCCGTAGGTCTATCTGCATGCCTCTTCCCCAGACGTCCATGTCCCTAGTCTTCCAGTCCTGGTGCCTAATTCTCCCAGGCTCCTGACCAACAAGCTAAGCCATCTGCCACTGACCAGAGGATATAAGATAATCTAGGGGGGGTTCAAGGTTCTCAAGTGAGTCTATGCAGGTATTCCATCCCGGACTCAGTAGTACCCTTTCTTAGAGCCCTGACTTTGTCATAGAATATATACAGCCTTCTCTGAAGTTTTATCCTGCTAACAATTAAGTTGTGTGCCTGGTTTTCAGCTTCCTTTGCCCTTCAGCCATAGGAAATGAGGGTTTCTTTGAAGCTCCTAAGAAGGTTCTCTGACTTTATCACTTTGCTTTAAATTAATGATTAATATATTTGAGCCTGTCCTTTTATCTCTTCAACTATAAACGGAGCATAGCAACAGCCACCCCAATTCCATTGTCCCTTTAGTTATTATTTCTGCATACTTCCCAAATACCAGCAACATTGTACCAGCTATTGCATCCCTGTGACAGTTCAAGAAGCAGACACCAAGATGGGATTCGATGTACAAGAGATTGCTGGAGGAAATATAGTGACAGATAAAGGGAAGGGAGCAAGAGGAGGCAGAGAAAACCATTAGGTCCTCATGCAGGTCTGGCACCATGAAGGGCGAGAAAAGGAAGGAGGATTGTGTAGGAAGAGCCTCAGCTAAAACTGCAGCCCAGTTTTAGGAAAGTTTTGGTCCGGATGAGGGGGGGTTCCTGAGCCAGTCACCCCCCAGAGGAGTTCGCTGTCAGGCGGGAGCAGGCCAGCACTAGTACTGTTGCCATGCTCAGTCACGCAAGGAGCAGCCTGGGGGAAGCGCGGGCTGGGTAGGAACATGACAGTGGATCCAGCGGGGCAGCAGTTCTGGCTGTCAGTGAAGTCCGTTTCAGCAGGCTCTCCCGAAGGAGATCTGAGCAGTCCATTCTCATGACCACTACAATCACCTTCCACTTATACTCTGCCTCAGTTCACCACAAGTCTTAGCAATTGCACTGCTATAACATGCTAACGATATTCACCCTGCCACCAGTGATGGACCCTTCAGTTCCATTCATTCAGTGAGTGATCCCACTCTAGAAGCCCATTTTTATAGTTTTGTCAGGTTCTCTAGAAGCAGAACCTGAAACAAGAATTCTTCTTCTTCACGTGATTAAGTCAGAGAGTGCTCTTAGGAGAAAGGAAGGGAAGGAACCAGAATTAAGTAGTGATGAAAAGTGGATTCATTTGGAGTCCGGTTTCAGTCTGATCCCACGGGGAGCTCTAGAACACAAATTGCATCACAAAGTTAGTCTCATCTTTAGGTAAGAAAATTACCTTTTTGTACCCCACTGTCAGTCACTCGTGTGCTGTGGACCCTTACCCACAGCCAGGAGGTGGTGTGATACAGTTCTTATTCAGCCAAGGGCACACTTTGAAGAAGGGGTAGCTGTAAGCCATTAACAGCCAATTCTCACAACAGCTAAGGGATAGGTACACTGGCCCACTAAGCAGATCAGGACAGAGCACCCACTGCAAATATCCTGAGATTATGTTATTAGTCCATACAAATCTAGTATCATTACATTCCTGTTAAATTGGCCCTTTGATAATTAGGAAATATACTTTTTTTTAAATCTCATAATATCTTTTGCCTTAAAATATACTTATCTGTTATTAATACAGCCACACAAACTTTCTTCTAGTTAATGTTAGAAGACATATATCTTTTGCATCCTTTCAACCTTTCTCCATCTTTATAATTATTGTATATATTTTATAAGAAATATATAGTTAGCTTTATAGGGGTGCCTGGGTGGCTCAGTCCATTGGGTGTCTGCCTTCATCTTGGGTCATGGTCCCAGGGTCCTGGGATCAAGCCCCGCTTCGGGCTCCTAGCTCAGTGGGGAACCTGCTTCTTCCTCTCCCCGCTGCTTGTGTTCTCGCTCTCTCTCAAATAAATAAATAATATCTTTTTTAAAAAATGAAATATATAGGGGGTGCCTGGGTGGCTCAGTCGTTAAGCGTCTGCCTTCGGCTCAGGTCATGATCCCAGGGTCCTGGGGTCGAGCCCTACATTGGGCTCCCTGCTCAGCGGGAAGCCTGCTTCTCCCTCTCCCACTCCTCCTGCTTGTGTTGCCTCTCTCGCTGTGTCTCTCTCTGTCAAATAAATAAATAAAATCTTTAAAAAAAATGAAATATATAGTTAGCTTTATATTTTTATATAGTGTGGCAATCTTTGTCTTTTTTTTTTCTTCCAAGATTTTATTTAAATTGTTAGTTAACATATAGTATAGTATTAGTTTCAGGGGTAGAATTTAGTGATTCATCACTTACATATAACACCCAGTGCTCATTACAAGTGCTCCCCCTTAATGCCCATCACCCATGTACCCCATTCCCTCACCCACCTCCCCTCTAGCAACCCTCAGTTTGATCCCTATTGTTAAGAGTCTCTTACGGTTTGCCTCTCTCTCTGTTTTTATCTTATTTTATTTTTCCTTCCCTTCCCCTATGTTCATCTGTTTTGTTTCTTATATTCCACATGTAAGTGAAATCATACGGTATTTGTCTTTCTCTGACTGATTTATTTTGCTTAGCATTATGCACTCTAGTTCTATCCAGCAATCTTTGTCTTTTCACTGAAGAATTTAATCTCTTTGCATTTAATGTAATTACTGATTTTTCAAAGTTTTCTATTTGTTCCATCAGTTCTTCATTCGTTTTTCTCCTCTGCTTATGCCAGAAACTATAACATGCATCTTTGACTGATTACAGTCTTTCCTATTTTACTATATCCTGGGCAATGAAAGAAACTTATAACACTTTAGCTCCATTTACCTGTTTCTCATATTTTGTGCTATTATGGATATATATTTTTAAGTTCTATATATAACTTGAATCCCACATGATATTATTGTATTTAATATTATTCTAGATTTATCTATCTGTTTCATGGCTTTTTCCTTCTTGCATCATTATTCTACTGGAATCTCATTTTCAGTATTTCATTTAATGTAGGTCTGCTGGTGATAAATCCTCTCAATTTTTGTTTTTCTTAAAACATCTTTTTTTTTTTTTTGAGGACAGCTGTCCACTTTATTAGCCAGCAGCTGGCCTGCAGGGCTCCCTAGGGCCCACTCTTAAAACATCTTTATTGCACCTTCATTTTGAAGCACATTTTCACTGAATATAGAATTCTTGGGTGGCAGTTATTTTCTTTCAGCACTTACTTTAAAGATTTAATTCCATTGGCTTCTGGCTTCAATTATTACTTGTTGTTTTTTAAGGTAGTATGTTATTCTCTGGTTGCTAGGATTTTGTTTTCTGTCTTTGGTTTTTCAGCAATTTTGCTATGATTTTCCTAGGTTTTTCTTTATTTATCTGGCTTGGGGTCTGGGGAAGAGGCATGCAGATAGACCTACGGGAGTAACATACTAAGTGTGAAGATCTTTTCTCTTTTCATCATATGCTAATGGCCACTAGGAATGTCCAAAGCAGAAGAGAGCACTAAACAACCAAGTGGAAAGGATGATTTGGACAGGAGATGTCAGGCACCCTCTGTCATTGGCCACCCAGTGCTTGGATAATGGGCTTATGAACAGAATGGTTATGCTGGCAAAGATGGAGGCTAAGCAAGGGCCAAATAGCATGCGCTCTCTCTTGCCCATGGCCATCTAGCTATTCCCACTGCCAAATGTCTGACCTGGCAACAATAGGGAGACCAACCCTGAGCTCTAGATATGGAATCATACCTTGAGGAAACCAATCATCTTTCTGCCTTGAAAAGGGCAACATTTCATCCTGACCTGGACTGACCCAGATTCTGGGTAAGTATTTGCTTTTCTTGCCCACAGTGCTTCAGCCAGCATCCCTATCCTCAGGCTCAGAGTATCTGGTCTACTGATATGGAATTCCGTATAATATCACTCAGACCATGGGATTACTTTATGGCAAAGGAGATATGGTGGTGGACACAGGACCATCGGATTCAGTCACCATACCACATATCACACCATCCAGGAAGCTATTACCCTGATAGACTGGTAGAAGGGCCTTGTGAAGGTACAACTAAGGTACAGCTTAGAGTTGATGGCCTGTGAGGATGAGTTCTATTCTTCAGGATGGATGGAGTATACATTTTAAACCAATGCCCACCATTTGGTGCTGTGTTGCACACACAAAGAATCCATGGGTCTTGGAACTACGGAATGAAAGTATGAGTGTCACCACTCACTAGGATGCCCACTTCTCCACTTAGGGAATTATGTTTCCCTTCCGGACACCTTTAGGCTCTGTAGGTGTAGATGTTCTGGTTTCCAGAGTGGGCATGCTTTCACCAGAAAGCACATTACAAGGCCTTTAAACTTAATGCTCTGGCTACCATCTTGTCACTTGGGTTCCTCATGCCTGTAGACCATCAGGCAAAGAAAAGAGTTATTATATTGACAGGACATCATTATGCTATACAAATGCTGCTATATAATAAGGGCAGATAGGAATATATTTGGCACTCAGGTGACCCATTAGGGCATATCTTGGTACTCCCATGCCCGGTTTTAACAATAAATGAGTAAGTACAGCAACCATAGCCTGCTAAGGTCATGGTTCCTAGAGTCTCACACCTCTTAAAGATGAGGGGCTGGGTCATCCCACCAAGAAAGTCACTTAGACCAGTGAAGGTGCTAGCCAAACATGAGGGAAATCTAGAATGGTAAAGGAAGAAGATGTTGAGTATTACTATGCCCTTGGGACCAAATGCAGCACTGAGAGTTTTCATTTGTCCTATTAACCCTCCTCCTACAAATTTTCCTAGAAATTGTGACCAACTAGAATCCTGTAGAAGCTATACCTAAATGGAGTCAACTTAACATGAGCAACAGGTAGATCCCAGCATTACAAGGGATGGATTGTAATGGATGTTGTTGGTGCCTCACTCAGACCTCATCTGCAACCTGCCATGAGAGTTGTTGATTGCTAAAGGTTCACAGTTGCCCCCTTCTCCAGAGAATGCCCTCCCATTGGGCTAGGAGGTTACATCCTGCCACCAGCCACTGACTGACCGATATGGGAGTAAAAAGGCCAGGCCCTTTGCCTCAAGATGTAATCAACTTCACACTGCATTCTGACCTCCAAAGTTCCTCACAGAATCAAAATGAAGCTGTCTAATCAGGACTACATCCTTGCTTGGCTCTTTTCTGCTGCCCTATCTGCTTCCCTCACTCCCCTTCTTCTGAAGGCACTCCCTCCCTCAATAAATCACTTGTACAAAGTATTTCCTCTCAGGCTCTGCTCCAAGGAACCCAACTTAAGAAAAAATGTAAAGAAAAAACTGATGGAACTAAAAAAAGAAGCAGACAAAGCAATAATCATAGAGATTTTAACACACCTCTCTCAATAACTATGGAATAAGCAGACAAAAATCTCAATAGGAATATGGAAGATTTGAAATCATGGTTAACACAGTTGACTGAACTGACATATAGAGAACACCATCCCCAACAACTGCAGAATACACATTCTTCTCAACTGTGCTGGGACAATTACCAAAAGAGACCATTTGCTGGACCATAATGCAATACTCAACAAATTTCAAAGGACTAAAATTACACAGAATGTTCTCTGGTCACAGTGGAAATAAGGTAGAAGTCAATAACAGAAAGGTAACTAGAAAATGTTTGGTTTTAAGCAACATTTGGTTTTAAGCAATAATCCATAGATCAAAGAAATCATAATGGAAATTGGAAAATATTTTTGAAGTGAACAATAACATAATTACTATTTATCAATTTTGAAAGTAGTGCCATTATGCACAGTAAATTTTCTATCTGAAGTTCCCTAGATGCAAACAATATTCAACAGCATGAGACACAAAGTTCATATTGCCAGCTAACCATGACTGGTTGAAACTTCATTCACATCCACCATATTAATGCTAGCTGGTAAACCAACATCCTGATGAAATAATTTCCCCATGGGTGAAAGGAACAAAAATCCAAATCAAGAAAATTCTGAGGAACTGGTGTCCACGATGAGAGATTTTGCTGTTAGAGGGACTACTCTGGGCTTAACTCTTTTCTGAAAACTAAGGCACAAATACATAAGGTATAAGCTTGCAGGCAAACTTCCATATGGTATCTTTCCTAGATATTTCTTTCCAGAGCTCCAGAAGTAGTTGCTTAGAAATTTCTGCCCAGCAGGCCATGATAAATAAATATTTTATAGTCATTCTCTTGGTATGATAATTTTTCTCATATTAACTAGCTAATCAAAGAAAAACCTACTTGGAATTCAACCCCAAAGTCAGCACACATGAAAAAGTTAGTGTTTACTGCTACATTAAAAAATAAATGAGGGTGCACCTGGGTGGCTCAGTTTGTTAAGCATCTGACTCTTGGTTTTGGCTCAGGTCAAGATCTCAGGGTCATGAGATCAAGCCCCACATAAGGATCTGTGCTCAGCACAGAGTCTGCTTGAGAGTCTCTCCCTCTCCCTCTGTCCCACCCCTGCTCACACATATGTGCACTCTCTCTCTCTAAAATAAAATAAATAAAATCTTTAAAATAAGTAAAAAATAATAAGTTTATATGATATCTCTGTAATTAATCAGAAAACATTAATAACTTTATGGTGTTTTCAGTAAAAACAATGACCTCAGTATACAGCTATAACCCATAAACCTCCTGGCATTTATATTTCTAGCACAGCAAGATAATATTGTATTACCAGTTGATGTTGAATATTTTCATGACGTTGCTTAAGAAGTTCTTCTGTCCTCTGCAAGAGACCGAATTCAGCTTTAAATTCAGCTATTATTTGATGCTTCTTTTTGAAAACTGTACTCTTGCTTCGAAGTTTACTGACATATCGTTTGAACTATAAAAGAATACAGCATATAACCTCATGAGTAGAAAAGTCATTGCTAAACATATATAACCTCATTGTACTAGAAAAATTTTATTGTCTCTTGTCCAACATGGGTATCACAAGTACATAATAATTACTTAGTTTCATTTGAAAACTTGGAAAGACTAACTGCTTAATTAAAATATTTTGTGTAGATTTTAGTTTTTGGACCCATCTAAATATTGTAAATCCTTACATAAAAGCTATTTGTTTTGGGCCTTACCAATAAGGATTTAAAAAACCAGAAACTCAACCCTATAAAAGTAAAAAGGTTAAAAAGGAAGGAGGAGGAGAAGAAGAAGAAGAAAAAGTAGGAAACCCACTCTGGCTGTGATCTTATCACGATATCTCTTGCATACTGTCCTATTATGGTAGTACTGCATCTACTGAGATTAATATAGCCAACCAGAATAGTTAACACTTGTAGCTACTATTTATCATTTAAGAAATGTACTCTGACCATATACACTAAGAAGCATCTGAGACATTGGGATGAAACTCATCCCAAACCTTAAAAAGCTAAGAATATTCCAACTTAGTGGGAGTTTACAGTTGCTTAATTCAGCTATTTACCTACTAATGATATAAAGTTATAACTACTCTAATGGAAAGACCCCACTATTAAGTAATACCAACTATAGTTTGGAAAAGCAAATGAAATGAATAGGAATTAAAGTAATTCATTTGATAAACAGTACTTACTATTATGTACTAGGCACTATGCCAGACATGGAGAATAACACTCTAAACAAGATACTCAGAAGTCCTGCCCTTACCAAGCTTAAGGAAATAGTGGCAAAAACAAACATTGAACTGAGGTTTACAACCATGGTGAACATTATGAAGAAATGAAGCGGTCCTGAGAGTAAATAATAAAAGAGTTTAGCCTGGGTTGGGATGAAAGCAAAAAAAGTGGGTCTTGGGATTTAGGGGAGGTGGATTATGGCAAGCTTCTCAAAATAATTACATTTAAGCCAAGACTGAAGAAGTAAGAGTGTGTTGGAGGAAGGAGGAAGAGGCAAAGAAGAACATTCCAGGTAGAGGAAACAGAAGGTGTAAAGATCCTGGCTCATAAAAAGTATTGCTTGATATAAGAAGCAAATGCCAGAAGCAAATGTTGAGAAATTTCTGGTATTTCTGAAACAGAACATAATACTTAAAAAAAAAAAAAAATCCTTCCTCGTATGTACCATTATACTAATAATTTTCAGATTTTTTTTACTATATAAAATAATTTTTCTTCCTACTCCATCCTTTTATTAACTACATTATAAAGAAAATTTCCAAGTAAGAATTTGGCCTGTTATATTTAAGCACATCACTTCAAGACAAGTTTCCATTTTACCTAATACAAGGTAATTCTTTTTTTTTGAAATTTTTATTTTATTTTTTTAAAGATTTTTAAAATTTATTTTAGTGACAGAAGTGTGAGCAGGGGGAGGATAAAAGAAGGAGGGAGAGAGAGAGAGAACCTCAAGCAGACTCTGTGCTGAGCATGGAGCCCAACGTGGGGCTTGATCTCCTGACCCCAAAATCATGACCTGAGCCAAAATCAAGAGTCGGATGCTTAACCAACTGAGCCACCCAGGCGCCCCATTACTTTTATTATTTATAAAATTATTTATAACTCTTCTCAAGTTAGCCTTTAAAAGGATTGGGTATTAAAAAGGCTAAGATTCTCAAAGAATTACCTTGTAGGGGAGTCTGGGTGGCTCCACAGGTTAAGCATCCCAACTCCTGATTTCGACTTACCTCATGATCTTGAGATCGTGCGCCACGACAGGCTCTGTGCCAGGAGTGGAGCCTGCTTTTTTTTTTTTTTTT